TCATTGTACATAGTCTTGGATAGGCTGTCAATTAAATTACTCCAAGAAAAATATGGATGGCCCAAGAAATGCCAGTCAGATATTCTTTCCTGGAATTTGACTCAAGGATAGTGACAAAATGACTGAACATGATTAGAAATCTAGGAATTCATCTTAGGAACATCATGGACCAGGGTCCCTGTTAGTGTCTGCTGCCCAAATCTGCATTTCTATTCTGGTCATGTCCCTCTACCCCATGAGCTACCTCTCAGGCTTCCTATGTGCAAATGCCAGAGGTAATTTCTGTGGCTTGCAATGAAAGAACTCTAAGACATCCTTCAAGATTCTTTCTATATCAGCACAGCCCATGTTCCAATACATAACAATGACAGATAAAATTTTAAAAGAGAAGCACTCTAGGATAAATGTTTGGGGCCAGAAATAAGACAGGAATGCAACATTGTAGATGATACAGAAGGTACAGCCTGCTGAGCGCTGGAGCCCTAAGCAGGCAAGGTACCTAGGAGCTTGGCTTTTTTTTTTTTACAGGTAAGGGGACTAAAAATATTTCATGTGAGATGGAGAACTGGCTCCAATCTCTCTGCTTAAAGTCAGGTGTTGAGATGTAGATCCCCTGGTGGGGAAATAAGGATGAAATAAACTCTGACCTACTCCCTGGAGCACTGATTTATTTGGGGTTCTGGATCTCAAGAGGAGGCTGGACAAAGAACATAGAATCAATCAAGGTTGCTGCTGGCTTTTGTCTGGGCCTAGGAGTTCTCTAGCATTACCAAAGAATAGAATCTGTAGAAAATAGATACCATTCAAACACAAAGAAAAAAAAGCTAGAATAGTTATATTAATATTACACAAGGTAGAATTCAGAAGAAGGAATATTAGCAAGAAAAAAGAAAGATATGATGATAAAGGAATCAATTCATTAAACAAGAAATCCAGGGGCACCTGGGTGGCTCAGTCAGTTAAGCATCTGACTCTTGATCTCAGCTCAGGTCTTGATCTCAGGGTCATGAGTTCAAGCCCCATGTTGGGCTCCACTCTGGGCATGGAAGCCTACTTTAAAAAAAAACAAAGAAAGGAAATAAAGAAAGAAGAAATCCAAATATGTATGCATCTAATAACAGAGCTCTAAAACATATAAGAAAAACCGATAGAGTTAAAAGGAAAAATAGACTAAACCACAATTATATTTGGACATTTTGACACCCATTCATTAACTGATAGACAAAAAAAATCAGTAAGGATATAAAACTCTTAACACTATCAACCAACCTGTCCTAACTGGTATTTCTGAAAGAGTCTACCCAACAACAGAATAAACATTTTTGAGTTTATATGGAACATTACCAAAATATACTGTATTCTGGTCATAAAACAAGTCTCAATAAATCTGAAAAGGATTGAAATAATACAGATATGTTCTCTGACCAAAACAGAACTCATCTAGAAATCAAGAACAGAAAATTATGAAAAAAAATCCAAATATTTGGAAATTAAACCATATATTCCTAATTTACCAATGGGTCAAATAAAAAAATCACAAGGGAATTAGAAAATATTTTGCACTGAATCAAAATGAAAATACAATATTTTAAAATTGGTGGTATGCAACTAAAGCATTGCTTAGAGAGAAATGTATACCATTAGCTATTTATGTTAGGAAACAACAAAGGTCTAAAATCAGTGATCTAAATGTGTACCTAAAGGAACTAAAAAGAGGAGCAAATCAATCTTAATAACAAGTAAAAATGAAAGCAGAAACATCAATGACATAGAAAGTGGAAAAAAATAAAATCAACAGGAGCACCTGGGTGGCTCAGTCAGTTGAGTGACTGACTCTTCATTTTGGCTTGGGTCGTGATCCCCAGGTCGTGGGACTGAGCCCTGTGTCAGGCTCTGCGCTTGACAGGGATTCTGCTTGGGATTCTCTCTCTTCCTCTCCCTCTGCCCCTCCCCCCGACTCATGTGCCCTCTCTCTCTCTCAAATAAATCTTTTAAAAAATAAAATCAATAAAACTCAAAGTAGATTCTTTGAAGTGTTTTTTTAATTGAACAACTCTAGACAAACTTGCCAGAAAAAAGACACAAATTGCCAAAATCAGGAATGAAAGAAGAGACATCACTACAGAGCCTACAGACAAAGAAAGAATATTAAAAGAATACTGTGACCAATTCCTTCCAACTTTTTAAATTGTGGTAAAATACATGAAATTTACTATCTTAATCATTTGTGAGTCTACAGCTCAGTCATATTTGACTATATTTATAATATTGTACAACCATCACCATCATTCATCTACAGAACTCTTTTCATCTTTATTTAAAGATTTTTTTTTTTTTTAATTTTTAAATAATCTCTACACCCAGCATGGGGCTGGAACTCACAACCCCAAGATCAAGAGTCACACTCTCCAACTGAGCCAGCCAGGCACCCCTCTTTTCATCTTATAAAACTGAAACTCTATATGCATTAAATGATAACTCCCCATTTCCCATCCCTTACCCTCTAGCAAATACCCTTTTACTTCTGTCTCTATGATTTTGGCTACTCTAACTACCTCATGTAAGTGAAATCATACAACATTTGCTTATTGTGACTTGCTTATTTCATCTAGCATAATGTCCTCAAGGTTCATCCATGTTGTAGTGTATGTCAAAATTTCCTTCCTTTTTAAGGCTGAATATTCCATTGCACATATATACCACATTTTACCTTTTTTTTTTAAGTTTCTTTTTTAATTACAGTTAACAGTGTTATATTAATTTCAGGTATACAATATAGTGATTTGGCAATTCCATACATGACCAGTGCTCATCACAAATGCACTCCTTAATCCCCACCACCTATTTAATCCATCCCCCCAATACACCACATTTTTCTTATTAATCCATCCACCAATGGATATCTGGGGTCCTGTCACATTTTTAGATACTGTGAACAATGCTCCTATGAAAATGGGTGTATAAATATCTCTTTGAGACCCTGATTTCATTCTTTTGAGTATACACCCAGAAATAAAATTACTGGATCATATGGCAATTCTATTTGAAATTTTTTGAGGAACTGCTATCCTGTTTTCACAATGGCTGTACCATTTTACATTCCTACCAAAAATGCACAAGTGTTTTAATTTCCCCACATCCCTGCCAACACTTAATTTCTTTTTTCTTTTAAAGATTTATTTATTTGAGGGGGGCACAGAGGAAAGGGAGAGTGAGTCTTAAGCAGACTCCATACTGAGCACAGAGCCCAACATGGGGCTTGACCTCACGACCCTGAGATCACAACCTGAGCTGAAACCAAGAGTCAGACACTTAACCAGCTGTGCCACCCAGGCGCCCCTTTCTTAATAGCCATTCTAATGAGTGTGAGGTGGTATCTGTTGTATTTTGCTTTGCATTTTATCAACAATTTTATGCTAATAAATTCAACAACTTGGTGAAATGGACAAATTCCTTGAAAGACCTTGTATTACTCTGCTAGGACTGCCATAACAAAGTACCAAGACTGGATGTCTTAAACAATATAAGTTTTATTTTTTCATAATTCTGGAGACTAGAAGTTCAAGATCAAGGCGTCAACAGGGTTGGTTTTTTCTGAGGCCTCTCTCCTTGGCTTGTAGATGGCTACCTTCTCCCTGTGTCTTCAAAAGGTCTTCATCTATTCCTGTGTCTTGATTTTTTTTTTTTTTTAAGATTTGTTTATTTGAGAGAGAGAGAGCATGCACAAGGGAGAGGGAATCCCAAGCAGACTCCCAGCTGAGCTTGAGCCCAAAACAGAGCTTGATCCCAGGACCCCTAGATCACGACCTGAGCTGAAACCAAGAGTGGGTCTTTCAACTGACTGTGCCACCCAGGCACCCCCTAATCTCCTCTTCTTATAAGGACACCAGTCATATTTGATTAGGGCCCAACCTAATGTCTTATTTTAACTTAATTACCTCATCAAAGGCCAGATCTCTAAATATAGTCACATTCTGAAGTACTGAGGGTTAGGACTTCCACATTTTAATTTGGGGGGGAACACAATTCAGCCCATAACAAACTACCAAAACTCACTCAAGAGAAAACAGATAATGTGAGTAGCCCTAAATTTATTAAAGAAATTGAATTCATGGGGGCACCTGGGTGGCTCAGTTAAGCGCCCAACTCTTGGTTTCTGCTCAGGTCATTATCTCAGGATCTTGAGATGGAGCCCCGCATCAGGCTCTGTGCTCAGTGTGGTGTCTGCTTTGGGATTCTCTCTCTCCTTCTCCCTCTGCCCCTCCCCCTATCCTCGCTCTCTCTCAAATAAATGAAATCTTTAAAAAACAAAAAAGAAATTGAATTCATAGCTTAAAACCTTTCCACAGAAACAAAAACAAAAAAAAAACTTCAAGCCCAATTGTCTTCACTGGTTAATTCATTTAAAGAAGAATTAATGCCATTCCTGTGGTGTGATTCAAAGCATACCCCAATAAGCTGTTTTTGAGGCTAATGGAACTTAACACACTGTTCTCCAACTTCAGGGTGATGGTTCCTTTAAGGTGCCCCACCCCAACCCTGTGGCCTGTATTTCTAGGTCTGCTCCATGGAAGGTTCACCTCTCCCAGTTCTCCTATAGGACTCTTCTTCCTTTGAATACCACCTCTTCCTCCTTGACTCCCACAACCCTCTGCACTTACCTCCAACATAACTCTTTTACCCAGGTCCCAGTGTCCAGCACAGAGAAAGTACTCTAAGAAGCGATAAATGAATAAACACTTTGCAGAAAGCAAAACATCCTTCCTCTGCTGCAGCTTCCCCAGCATCTTTGTGGGGAAGCAAAACCAACAAAAGGCTAAACAGTGGACATGCCAACAGATTTTGCAAACATTGCCTAGTGCTCAAAAGAAAATCTGTCCAATGGAGGCAGATATTTTACCCTCTACATGCTTAGTTTTTTTTTTCCTCCCCATTCCCTATCCTCTCTAAACCATATGCCTCTTCCCCAATTTTACAACATGAAATGAAAACAGAAAAACCTCTCTTAAGCATTTTTTTATTTCTCTGTTATTTGGTTTTCTACTTTGGTACACATGAGCTGCGGCTATATTTCACACAGAAGCTGACATATCTCATTATGACACGCCCCATAAAACAGAGCACATATAAATCACCTGGCAGGGTTTTGCTTCACCTAGTTGTTATTGCTAAAATCTTTATTTCTAAGAGCACAAAAGGGAACATTCCTTGAATCTACAGATGAACAAGGACGGGGTAAGCAGCAGCCAGATCTGCCAGGATGGGAGAGAGGGACCAAAGACATGGGCTCCCTCGTGGTTGTCCACAGAGACATGAACAGCACAGATGAAGAAGCCCAACAAAAATTTCAGAAAGACCAGGGCCAGTGGGGAAATACTCCCGGATTACAGCCCATCTATCAGACCCCTCTGGCTTGCTCAGTCCTAATAGACTGTGACATAAACACGATTGCCCAAGGTGGCCTAATACCGAAGCCAGCAGTGCCTATTCTTTGGTCTTAATTCCTTTTATGAGTATTGTTTTATCCTGGAGCTCTAGACAGCCCCTCTCTTGGGCAGGAGCACTATCCATCCCTCCCCTTGCCAGCCCCCATGTCCCCAGCCAGTCCCACATCAAGACCCAGCCAGGCCTTGCCAGCTCTAAAATGTCTTGCCCTCAAAGGCCTGGAGATTAAAGGCAGAATCCAGAAACTTCTTCAGAGAAACCAGGTGTGTGTTCCTGTTTCCTGTGGCTGGTGCAGCCGCTGGGTCACGGCCAACATACCTGGGGGAGAAGAGACAAGTTAAGGGGAGGTCTGGGCCTGGCCTAGCCACTACCCCAGGACTGCATCGGGTCTAATCCTGATCATCATCCTGCCGTATAGAAGAAGAGCCTGAGGCTCCAAGAGGCTAAGTGGCCTAAGATCAAAGGAGGTTCTCTCATTCAGTTCTGGCTTCAGAACAAAAACAAAGGTTTACTCTCCATAAGGCGGAACTGACAGGGTCCTTGATCTGTCATCAACAGTCACAAAGCCAGCAAGGACTATGGGACCCATCCCCTCAATTTCCAGTGTGGTCCAGAGAAGGGCAGTAGCCAGTTCTGGCTCACACAGCCAATGGGGCAGGCAGAGCCAGGATGGGGCTTCACGCCCCCAGAATCCCTTGAGCCCAGAGGAAGTAAGGCGTAGGTGGCAGATACCCCCCACCCAGCCCTGTACCATATGGGCCGCGCCCGGCTCAGGATGGTCATGAAGCGTGGGCTGATGTAGTCATAGTAGCCCATGTTCTTGTGCTCTTCCTGACACCACACCAGCTCTGCGCCTGGGTACTTCTCTGCCTCTTGCTTGATCAAGTCGAAGGGGAATGGAGAGATCTGGGGCAGGCAGGGAGAGAGCGGAGTACAGCCAGGGGAAGGGGGCGTGCCCACGGCCAGCGCCCTAAGACAGTAGCCTCAGCATCCCTTGTGAGGCCCAGTCCTGCCCCTGACAGGCATGCTGCCCAAAGCCAGGGGGCTGCCAATTGGACCCCGTCCATTACCCTGACTGGGCAAGGGGCTAGGGTGCACCTGTTCCAGGCGGGTGATGGCCACTTGCTCCTCCAGGCCCTGGCTGCTCCGCTCCTTCACCAGGTCATAGTACACTTTTCCGGTGCAGAAGATTAGCCGCCGTACCCGCTCAGGAGCCTGCGTCGCAGCCCCATCCTCAGGAATCACCCGCTGGAAGCTGGTCCCTGGAGGTCCCACAGGACATTGGCAGGGGCATCAGCTCCCAGAGGAACAATAACTTGGCCAGAACAGCTTGAGAACCAGACCTACATCCCTGGGCCCCCAGGCTCTCCCCGGCCACTGAGACTAACCCCAGGTTTGGATCTGTGGCTGCAGGGGGCACCTCTTGAGACAAACCATGGAGCAGGGGACAGCTGACACCCTCAGACATCACACGGAGAGGAGTAGAGACAGGCTGGAGCCAAGGGCACGGCCCCGGGAACATGAACATTTAAGGTGACAGGCTGGGGATGGGGGGGCACGTATGCTGGGGAGAGCCCTTGGAGGGGACAGAGAAGGTGGCATCAAGTCCCCATCTGATGGCATCGATGTCTATCCCAAACCTGCTCCCCATCCAGTCACGCTCACCTCCCACATGCGCTCCCCAGCCACCGGATCACCAAGCTAGAAGGTGAGTCTGGGGGGTTGCTGCACATTCGTCCCTCCCTCCCTCAGCCCTGCTGTTGTCTGGGGGGCTGCTGCACATTCGTCCCTCCCCAAGTCCCCATCTCCCTGTACATTTTTCCTTCCTGGGCACACACCATGTGCCAGACACCAAGGCAACCATGCTGCAGAGAACCTCTGAGTCAAGCCACTCAATCTCTGTCCCCCAATCTCTGGTGAGGACTGAAGGACAGAGGGTAACTGGCTGCCAGTCCCCAGCAGAGGAAAGCAAGCACTGGGTGCTCAGGCCAGGCGGTCCACAACGCCAATGCCAGGGCTCTGAACCGCCGGCTCGGTCATCTGCCCACACCCGAGGGCACGCCCACACATATACAAGTGAAAAACACCTGTCCACGCTGCTGAGTCCCTTCCTGGCCAGCACCTGGCACTCTCCCTACTACCCCGGAATGTGTTCTCAGACGGCTCTGCTCTGGCGAGCCTCAGGGCCCCACCTCAGCCCCTCCCTGATCCTCCCTGGATCACAGCTCAATTCGAACACCTGATCCTTCAGATACTTTATCTGACCCTCAACTCCTAGGTAAAGGAGTCTGAAAGCTCTTGGAGGAGCAGTGGGTCCCCAGGGCCAGCAATGTCTATTTGGTTCAGGAGTAAAAAAAAAACCTGAATAAGTAAATGAACCATACTCAGTGCCCTGCCGTCCTAGGCAGGCCTGCACCAGGCCTCCCTCCTCTCAGCTCCCCTAGCATAGCCGGGTGGGCCCGGCTGCTTGGCCCAAGTGAGCCAAGCCGGACCTCATCAGGTGGCTACCATGCTAACCTCCCAACCTAGCCGCTGGTGGGGACAGAGCCCGGAGCTGCGACAGAGGTGAGGACAAGAGTCCGAGGAGCAGAGGGCCACGGGCCACCAGGCCCCCCCCATCAGCCACCTCCCCGGCACACTTAGGCACTTACCAGATACCATTTGGTCGAAGCTGGACTTGGCCTCTGGGTGCCTCAGCAGAGATTTGGGTGTGAAGATGATCAGCTGGAAGGGAAACATGTGCCCATCTGGCCCGAGCCCCCGCCCCTGGGCCTGGCACTGCCGAGGCAGTGAGCAGGGCGGGCAGCTCACCGGCTTCCGGAAGGGCAGCAGGACCTGGCGGCGCAGCACGTGGAAATAGCTGGCTGGTGTGGAGCAGTTGACGACAATCCAGTTGCAGTCGTAGAGCTGGCTCACTTCAAAGTCCTCCGTGAACACCTGGGGGGCCGGGGTATGGCTGGGAGGCGGCCCACCTATGGCACCCATGCCCCGGCCCGGCCCCAGGGGAGGGAGCACTTACGGGGTATGCATCGGAGTCATCATTGCTCATCTGCAGGAACCTCTCAGGCCTTGCTGAGGAGTGTTCTGGGCCCTGAAAGCAAGTGCCAGATGGCATGGCCTGGCCTAAGTGCAGGGACCCAGGGCACAGGGGAAAGTCTGGGTGGCTTCTTAGAGGAGGTGCCCTCTCTCTCTGGAACCTGAACCACAGTAAAGAACCAGGAATGTGGGAGAAGAGGAGAGGGAGGATGTCTTCAGAGGAGGGTCTGGTCAGAGCCAGCACATGTGAACGTGTGGGACAGGAAGAACAGGTAAAAAGACCAAGGTGAGGTGCTTCTTCCAGAATGTTCTGGAATTGGCAGTTGCCATTTACTGAGTACGTGCTGTGTGTCAGGCACAGTTCTATGGACCCCATACACATTATTCACTAACCTTGAAAGCAGCCCCATGGTGTAGACATGTTTCCTCACTTTACAGACGAAGGTGAGTTGCAGAGATTAGGAACAACCCCATGGTCACCCAGCCACAAGGGGCAGATTCGAACCCATGACTGACTCCTACTCCTGTTCTCACCCACGTGGGCGGCTCTGCTCGATGACAGCAGCAGGACAACACCACAATGACCTCCAAGGTGGCCCCCCATGGGACGAAGGTGATCTGTCCCACAGCCCACAGGCACCAGTCAGGCTGCCCCACCCTCCCCACCCAGCCTGGCTCAAGTTCCACCCTGTGCCTTTCCAGCTACCTGCCCTTGGGCAGGTCCCTCCACCTCTTTCCTCATGTGTGAAGCGGGAAACAGGACCGGCCGCCCAGTCCGGTTGCGAGCGTTCCACAGGATGACACAGGCTACGCTGCTCAGCGCCGCGCATCCTGGCTCCGACAGCAGAGTGATCAGTCCCTGACTGGATGACCAGCCCAAGCGGCACAGGCCCGCAGGGACATGCACGGCAGCCCAATCATCCGGCGGGGGCGGGGGAAGGCCCTGCCCCCGGTCACAGAACCAGGCTGGAGGCCGCACGCACCCTGCTCCTGGCTGCCTCTGCAGCCCGCACGGCCCCACACGTCCCCTACCTGGGCAGGCTGCACACCCACCGGGGGGTCTCGAGGGCCCTGCTCCTGCCCTCCCGCCCCCACTGGCCTGCGCACCCTCCGTGCTCCCTCTGTGCCGCCGCTCGGCAGAAGACCAGAGGACAGGCCACACTACACGGCGTTACGTTCGGATCCCAGCTTCTAGCCGTGTGACTTCAGGCAAGCCCCTCTACTTCTCTGCCTCAGTTTCCCTCATCTGGGAAGTGGGAACAAGAGCTACTTCATTAATTCGCTGTCAGGACTGGAAGAGCTCACAGAGAGGGTGTGACACAGAGCAAACCCTCAGACGTGCCAGCTGCTTCCATCGCTCGTGACAGCCGTGCCACCCAGCGGCGGCACACATACGCGGGCCCCACCCTGCGCAGACCCGTGTGTTCTGGGGGCCTGGAGGGAAAACACCGCCCAACCCTGCAAGCAGCCAAGGGCCCACCCACCCTCTCCCAGGCGTGCCAGGGCCTTCCGAGCCCCTGGGCACCACGTGGCCCTACCATGCCCTCCATGCCGTGGGGCAGCAGAAGGACGATGCCGTTGTGCCGCACCCACTTGGCCTGGCCGGTGCTGATGAACTGGTCGATGATGCACTGGGCCATGTTGTGGAAGTCACCAAACTGAGCCTCCCAGAGGACCAGGGCATTGGGGCTGGCCATGGCATAGCCCAACTCAAAGCCTGAACAGAACACACAGAGACAGAGCCCGCCACACATTGTCACCAAGTGGCAGTGGCTCCAGTCAAACCCAGCCCTTGTTCATACACTCTCCGTGTCCCCACCCATCCTTCCCAGCAGGCCAGCAAGAGCCAGGGGACTCCTTGTGGCCCAAAGGCCAGAATCTCCCTTCCTGGAAGCTCACAATATGCTCAGAGATGCCACCCTCAGCCCTAACCTCACATATGGCCAGCTTCAGCCTTATCTAGACCAGAAGCCAAGTCCAAAGATACCCTGGGGAGGCAGCAGGCATCATCTGCCAAGAGGAACGCCCCAAAATATGTGCAGTGCTGCCAAGTGGAAGGGACGGGGTGGGGGGCTGCTCGCTGCAGGGTTCCTGCTTCTCGGAGGAGGCAGTAAGGGAGGAAGCAGGCCAGCTAAAGGTCAAGCCAAGGAAGAAAGAGTACAGAGGACACAGTCCTGGGAGCCCAGAGCCTCCGGGGGTCTCTTGAGATAAGAGCGGCTGGGTGGTCATGGTCAAAACAATAAAGATAGGACAGCTTGGGATGCAAGACCCTCTCTGGTCCCCAGGTATCACAGGGTCTGCCTGACCTGCAGGCAGAGTTCTGACCCACCCAGGACTCCATACTCTGAGAGGGAGCTGTTGCACACAGTGTAGGGGGCCTGGTCAGGCCAAAGGTGGTTCATGGGGACACACGTCCTCCGGTCAACTTCCTGGTCATGGAGAACGTGGTGCCGGTGACTGGAGAGAGACAGATGGGGAAGGGATGGAGGGCAGGTGGATTACCACCTGTTCACCCAGAGCAGGTGGGCCAGGTAGCAGGAGACAGGCAAGCCTCTGTCACGGTGCCAGGAAACCTGACTGAATTCCAGACGATGGTGACACCAAGAAGGCCCTGGGAAGCCAGAGCAATCTGGTGTCTCTTCCAGGTAGCCTCCCTTCCCATCCCAGTGGTAATCCCACGGGGTCAGAGAGGTGGCCAAGCAGTCTTCTGATGGCTTGGCCCAAGAGCAGGGGCTGGAGATGCTGAGGGGGTTACCTGTGACAACCTCAGCCAGCTAAGGGCTCCCCAGACACGGGCCAGGAAAAGGAGGAAGAGCCGGCTCCACCCCAGAGCTCTTGGGCTGATTCTGGGAGACCCCACACACAGGTAAGCTCTCAGCAATCCCGTGGGGTGTACGAGGACAAGGCTAATGCCCATGGGGCCCCAGGGCCCAGAGACCACTCTCCCATCCTCACCTGAACGTGCCCCTCTCCACATCCTGCCCACTGAGCCGCACGTGGATGCCCTCCTTGAGCAAGGAGCCGAAGGCCATGTACTCCGCCAGTGCCCAGTCCACCGTCCGTGTCTTGGTCATGTCCGCACGGCCCCGCAGGATTCGAGAGAGGCCTGTAGGAATGAACAGCCAGCCTGAGGGATGCAGGGGCTTGGCCACCCCAGCGGGGACAGCCATCGCACCAGGGCCCTAACCCAGGTGTGTATGTACTCAGTGTACACCGCTCCCACAGAGCAGGGCCTTAGCAGGCCACAGGAGACCCAGTGCCGGGCAGCCCTCCTCCGGCACCCCCACTCCATGAGCAGGCCTGAGCCCACCATCGCCCCGCCACCAACTTCCCTCCCTTCAGGAAGAAGGAGCAGGCGTCACTAAGTGAGCATCTGCCACATGCAGACACTGTGTGCACTGAGTCAGGAACATTCCTCACGGGTCACCTGCCAGAGTGGTGCTGACTGTCCCCACTCTCCAGATGAGGAGACTGAGGCTCAGAAGAGGGAACGGATTTACACATGACCACACCACTGTAACGATGTTTGGATCTGAGCCCAGGCACCCAGCCCAAGCGGGGCTCCTGCTGGCCCTACACCTATACAGGCCCCATGTGACGAGCACACCGAGCAGGCAGGCCAAGAGCCCGGGCCACCGTGCACACTGTGGAGGAATCCCACAGGCTGGTCGGAGCGTGGCAGGCATCCACACCACCGTGGGGACCCTCCAGGCTGCCCAGCCAAGAGGTATAGCCAGCAGCCACCTACTAGCCTAGATTCACCCAGGAGCGGCAGGCTCGCCCTCTCTCATCCATCCAGACCACCAGGAGGCCCAGCACTCCTGCCGCTTCCCAACATTCCAGACCCAACCAGGCCCTCCACGGAAGCCCTTGCTTCCCTGCTCTCCTTCTGTTTGACCCACACGCAACCCCAGCAAAGGCACTGCGAAAATCCAAGGTGCCCAACATAAGCCTTGGCCACTGGCACCCGGAAGGGGGCAGGGCTTCCCAACCTGCCCGCCCTGAGAGGAACTATTATCACGGGCACCTCACAAGAGCGCCAAAGAGGCTCCAAGAGCTCAGCTGACCTGCCAAGCCCCAAGTGGGGACGCAAACGCGGCTCCGCGGCCCCTGAGCACCATCTCCCACAGGGCACGTGCTAGAGCCTGCACAGCAACCTTACCACTGTGGATCTTAAAGTCCTCCACAGGCACGGAGCTAGCCACTTCGCCAATGTGGGTCAGCACGTCCTCGGGAATGCCCGTGGCTGGGCATGTCATGCTCTTGGGCTCCCCATCCACATTGAAGAAGCCTGAGAGGGCAGAGACTCTGTGTGCTTCTGGGTGGCGGTCAGGCCTCAGATCCCCTGGTCAGCCTACCTTCCCAGAATTCAGGGGCCCACCTCTTCCTTAACCCCACCTGCACTCAAACCCTGACCCACCCTCGGGACCTGTGACAGCTGACAGCCACATCTTCCCCTGGGCCCCTGTGGGGGCTGCTCCCTGGGCCCAGGGTCACAGCCATCTAGCTCCATCCCACAGAGGCCCTCTGAGCACCCCTCCCCCAGGCTCTCTCCACTCTGGAGTGCACCTGCTTTGGCTCAGCTCTCCCTTTCCGGAGAACAGCTGGTTGCATATGCGCCCAGGGCAATGCCATCTCTCCTGTACCCCGGCCCATCCCCACCTGCAGGAATTAGCACCCCCAGCCTCAGGAGTCTCAGGGATGGAGCCCGCAGCCTCTGGGCTGGGCCACGACTGCCCTCACCCAGGACCACTGCAGTCCTGGTCCCAGGCCCAGGTCAATCACTCTCAGCCACACACCACTCACTCACCAGGCCAGGGGGAGTCCAGCCAGTGCTTTATATGCAGGATCTTTTTATCCTTGGACCTGCCATATGCCTCCTCACAGATCCTGTCATATTTGGCGATTTCTTCCTGAAATCAGGGTGAATGCAAGAATTGAGGCAGTGATGGCCTGGATAACCAAAAGCTGGATCAACATGGACTCGTAAGCCCTGGTCCCCTTCACTACACTACATTCTAGAACTGTCTGTCTACTGGCCCGCAGGGACCCTGTGCCCAGGGGCCAAAGTCTCAGAGTTAAGGGGGATCCCTCCTGCTCAGCAAAGGACTTGCTGGAGGTTCAGAAAAGACTCACAGTGCTTGCTCTCAGAGCTCCCTCAAAGCAGGAGGACCAATGCATCCATAGATAACTGTGGGGACAAACCCAGTTCAGGGCTGCCTCCTGCAGGAAGCCTTCCTGGACTCCTGCCTGATGCTGAGCTTCCCCCACATGGCAGCATTCACTGTCCCACCAGGCTGTAAATGTCTTTGGCTCTCTGTCCCCCTTGACAACGAGGGGCTGCTGGGGACAAAGACCATATTGGCTATTTCTTGAAATCACTGCCAACATCAGCAACTACCCCAGGATCCCGGCTCTGCCAGAGGCTTATCTCAGGCATCCATGCAGCCCGCCTGCCCACCTCGAACTCTTGCAGGGTGACTGTGCCCTCAGCAATGAGCTTGTCCGCGTACTTCTTCAGCACAGGCACCTGTCTGTGAATCTGCTTGTACATGAGCGGCTGCGTGAACATGGGCTCGTCCATCTCGTTGTGGCCACGCCGGCGGTAACAGACCTGCAAGGACAGTGTGGGGAGGGGCTCAGTCCCTGCCCCCAGGCTGTGCAGGCCTAGTCCTTGCACAACAGGGCGCGGGGGGGAGGCCGGCAGGACATGCCCTTCCAGGCCCCTGAAAGCCCCCCACTACCACGTATCACCGAAAGCCCCACCTCCCAGCCTTTGCAGAAACTCTCTCGGTGGCACTAAACCTTCCAGCCAGAAAGCACTCCCAGCCCTCAGTGCCGAAGACACTGCAGACCTAGCCCACTCGGTCACAGCCACCCCCACCCTGGTCTCAGCCCCAAACCCACCAAGTCCACCACCACATCTTTATTGAATGTGTTCCTCCACTCGGCTGCCACACTGCACACGTATATCACGGCCTCTGGGTCATCCGCGTTCACGTGGAAGATAGGTGCGTTGACCACACGGGCCACATCGGTGGGGTACGGTGAGGAGCGGGCCATGCGGGGGTCTGTGGTGAAGCCAATCTGCAGAAGCAGGGGGAATGGACAGCGCCTCTGGAGAGCTAGACAGGCACCGCCTGCCTGGGAGACTGGTGGGTCCAGGAAATCGGGGGGATCTTTGCCTTGAGGTCCGTTAGGTGTGACCAGGAGGGACATGGCACAGGAAGGGAAAAGAGTAAATGATCCCTCAATCGGGGCCTACAGCAGGTCCTACAGCGATGGCAGCAACACCAAGGTAGCCTGCCTGCTTTTTTCTCATTTCATGCGGTGGCAGGTAGAGCGCAGGCCTGGCTAACCGCCAGCCCCGTCAGCTGCTATGTGTGCAATGCTAAGCCAGGTACTCTAATCCCCAAAGCCTCAGTTTCCTCATCTGTTCAAAGGGCTCATTAAATACTACTTCACAGGGTTATTCTGTGAAAATTAAATGACTTCATGCAAATAAGGCAATTAACCCAGGGTGTTATAGGCTCAGAAGAGCTATTAGTAAGCACAGCTGCCTGAGGAACAAAGGCCTATGACCATTGTGTTCTCAGACTGGTTCCTAGAGAGCTAAAAGGAGCATCTGGTTTCGTGCCCAGCCTCTGTGCTAGTTACATCTGTATGCCTTTGTCCTTACAACGTTCTCCATAGTGTGTGTGTGTGTGTGTATTTACATGTACACGTATACATATAGACACAAACCAATTTCACAGAGGAGGCTGGGGAGAGCAGGGATCCTGCCTGAAGTCACACTGGGGAGTGGCAGAGCAGTGGGATTAAAACCAGGATCATCTCGAGGCACCTGGGTGGCTCAGTCGGTTAAGTGTCTGACTCTTATCTCGGCTCAGGTCATGATCGCAGGGTCCTGAGATCAAGCCCCACATTGCGCTCCATGCTCAGCACAGAGTCTGCTTGTCCCTCTCCCTCTGCTCCTCCCCCCACTTGCTCTCATGCGCTCTCTCTCAAATAAATAAAATCTTAAAAAAAAAACAAAACAGGATCATCTCAAAAAAAAAAAAAACAAAAAACTAGGATCATCTCACACTTCCCCCCAAAAGTGCTACCTAGAATTCAGGAATGGGGGACACCAACGAGGCCCGCCAGGCAGCCCAGGTCCTCACCTGGTTGTTGACAACCACATGCACAGTACCATTGGTGGTGTAAGAGGGCAGGTCACTCAGGTGGAAGGTCTCATACACCACACCTTGGCCAGCGAAGGCAGCATCCCCATGAACCAGGATGGACATGACCTGCAGGGCCGGATGTGAGTCAGGAGGAGTCTGAGCCTGTGCAGCCCAGCACTGTGTCCTACAGTACTAAGATCCAAGCCCTATTCCTCCGAGCCCACCCCTCAGAACCCAGTCCTCACAGTCCACCCCTCACAGCCCAGTCCTCAGCGTCCAGTCCTCACCGTCCACCCCTCAGAACCCACTCCTCACAGTCCAGTCCTGCCAGCCCACCTCTCAGAGCTCAGTCCTCACAGCCTACCCCTCAGAGCCCAGTCCTGCCAGCCCACCTCTCAGAGCCCAGTCCTCACAGCCCACCCCTCAGAGCCCAGTCCCTCAGAGACCATTACTCTATCAGAGTTCAGCACTCGGAGCCCAGCCCTCAGGGCGCACCCCTTAGGAACCAGGTGCGTTCACCTTCTTGCCCTGGGCATCCCCTCGGTAGAACTGTTCTGCCTTCGTCTTTCCCTGCACCACAGGGTCCACGGCTTCTAGGTGGGAGGGGTTGGCCACGAGGGACAAAGTGATATTTCTGTTGGTGACCCGGTTGATCCTCTCATGGTACATGCCGAGGTGATATTTGACGTCTCCAGAGCCCTGAAGGTTGAGGCAGGCTGTGAGGAACCCAGCCCTCTCACCGCAGACAGGAAGACAAGCAGACATGCAAGCCCACAGTGGGGCTGGGACATTTCCTGGATTCTGCTCCCTGGGAAGGCTGTGCTATTCCTGACTGACACCCTACCCCTCCTTGAGAAAGACAGGCAGGTTGGGGCCAGACAAGCTCCCTCATCAGAGGCCCTCCGCACTGTCAACTACCATCCTCAGCATTAATGACAGTGCAAGCAGAGAAATGAAGGTGCTGGTAAGAACAGTGGCGTGGCCTCTGGGCAAATACTGGAGCTGAACCCCTACCTAATTCCTTACACCAAATAACCAATAATGTATACATGACAGATGAAGCCATAGCATAGCAGAGAAAAACATCGTATTTTATATGATCTTGGAGTAAGGAAGGCCCTTCCAAACAATGTACAGAGCTCAGAAGCCATAAAAGATAAGGCAGCTAAAATTTAATAAATCTGCCGAGGGCGGGGTATCAAATCCATGCACAGTGTTAGGGGGGAAAGAATCAAGCTGAGAAAAATATTTATAAGACAACTGCAGGCAAAGGGCTAACGCCCTCAATATATAAGACACTCTTACAAATCAGTAAGACAAAGCCCCAAATCCCATAGAAAAATGAGCAAAAGCCATGAAAAGGAATTTACAGAAAAAGAAATATACATGGCTTAAAAACATGTGAAAAGATACTCAACTTCATAACAAAGCAATATGTTAAAATGCAATCATTTTTGCACCTATCATATTGACAAAGACAGGAAGATTTGACAGAGTAAGGGAGGACAAAGCCTGGGACCTTTGCACATGCTGGGGGTGGGCCTACTGGTGTCTTCAAGCTCTCTGGGGGGACGTTAGTCTGGCTACTGCATCTCTCAGACACCATCTAACAATGTCCTCACACACGTGTGCAAAGAAACTCATTCAGCAACTTAACACCCATCAACTGGCGAGGCGCAACCCAGGGGCCTGCTTGAAGCTCGGGGAGCTCCCGTGTGCTGCACGAAGCCGCGACAGCTCATTAAGTGAAAACAGCAAGGTGCCACGTGCTGTCACAAGCTGCCCCCCATCTCCCGGCCTGTACAGACAGGTCTGTCCCGGACGGATCTGTGGGTTGGGACCTGTGTGGAATATTTCTGGAGGTACACACCTTAACACAAACACTGGCCACAGAGGAGCCTCTGAAGAGCAGGCGAGGGGTCTCAAGAAGGAAACTTAATCTCATCAGATACACTCTTTTTTTAACAATGCTCATATTTTTTAATTTAAAAAAATTGTAAATACTTTTTAAAAAAATATCCTTTAACCAGACTTTACACAGTTTATACACATCATCTCTGATTCCTCACAACCATCCTGGGGGGCAGGGGTTTTCATCCCCACTTTACAGAAGAACAAACTGAGCCTGGGAGAGATGAAGGTGACATTAGAGCGAGTGCTCTGATCTCTGATAAGCAAAATGAATGGCATCTTGGGGAGATTCTGGGCTGGAAGTCAGCAGATGTGGATTCTAGTCCCTGCTTTGCCTAATGCACTGGATGACCTTGGAGCAGCCATTTAATGTGGTTCATTTTAACAAACCAGGCACCCGTCCTGGGTGCTGGAGCTTCGGGGATGAGGTCCCTGCCCTCATCCTGCTACCAGCCTAGAGAGGAAAACAGATACACACACATGTGCACAGGCTGGAGAAGGCCAGAAGAGAGATGGTACGGAGGGGAAAAGGAGTACAGGGGAGGAAGGGATGGGCTTGCTGCCTTGAGGACCAGGAGAGCCACCCAAAGGGGAGCCAGGCAGGGCTGTGAAAGAGGCAGAGAGCAGAGAGCAAGGCCGTCTGTGTTCAGGCCCAGTGTGGGTGACGGCATCAGGGTGTGAGGTGTGCTTAACATACGTGCAGACCAGGAACGGGCGTGTGAGCAGAGAAATGTTTCCTCTGCTCCTCACTGGGTGCAGGAAGCTGTCCTGGCCTCCCAAGGCTGTCCTGGGCAAACAAATGAGTGAAGAGACCCTTCTGGGCTGGCAGTCAGGACCCTGGTACAGAGTCAGGCCACACAGCTAAAGTAACTGTCTTTAGGCCCTTCCCTGCACCTCTCCGGGCCTCAGCTTCCCTAGCTGAACATAAGGAGGCTGGTCCAGATTGCCTGAGGACTCTCCCAGCTGTCAGAGATCATAGCACTCACTCTAAAACACCTTAGTGACCTCACACAAACATACCCATTTTCTTCCCACTTTTCTGCGTATCCATCCATCTCCAGGTCTGTTTGAGCCTAGATGCTTCTGGTCCAGTCCCTCCCTAGTGCACCTCCCAAATATCTGGGACCAGGGTTCGGCACCTACCTCGTCTGCCGCCTCCAGCTTGGGGTCAAACTGGCAGAATATCTGCTCCAGGTCCTTGCGGATCACGTTGGCCAGCACATTCAGCCTGCCCCTGGAGCCACAGGTGGTAGGACTCTCATCTGGCACAGAGGCCACCTCACCCCAGAGCCCCAGCATCCCCACACTCCTGCCCACCTGGGCCTATCAGATTAGCATGGGGGTCAGGGAAACCCTCCCCGTCAGGGGAACTCTCCCTGTACAGTCCGAGGGAGGCCCAGTGCTCTCATTCTGTCTCAATCTACAAGGTATGTGAGTGGTTCTAGCTGGCCAACTCCCCCAGAAACCCCTGTACATCCCACTCAGATTCTGGAGGCCCTCATAAGCAGAAGTCACCCAGCCTCATGGCAGGATGCACACACCCCCACTCCTCCCAGCCACACACCCCTACATCCCTGCCCCACCCCATCTCCCTCCCCACCCCCAGAAGCTGAGCCTAACCCAGTACCTCAATCCCAATCTGCTAATGCATCAGAGCTGCTCAAACATGACTCCCAGCCCAGCCAGCAGGTCAGATCCTGACCTGATCCTAAGGTCAGGAGTTACCAGGGGACCTGCCCAGGGGAGCTGAGGTCTAAGGGTAGGGGTAGGAAAGCAGCCAGAGACCAGGGACTCTCTAGTCCGGCCTGGACTTCCCATCAGGATGCAGTTTATTCAGGGGTGGGCACCAGGCTGATCAGGGCACAGGGGAGGACTCAGAACTCACCCCCCCCCCATAGCCCACCAGCAGACACCAGCCCCAGGCCTGCACACACCCTGGCCCAACTTCCAGCTCCACGTAGCCCTGTGACAGAAGGGCAGCCCTCTTCCAGGTGGACTTCTCCTATGTTCTGGGGGTGGGGGTGGGGGGTGGCGGGCAGAGCTATGAGGCCAAAGGAGCTAAATGAACAACCCTCAGCTCCTTTGGGCAAAGCCTTAAACCCTCCCCTTACCCCCAACTATGGAGGTCTGGCCTGGAACAGCCCTTACTCAGGCCAGAAGCCTGCCCAGCACCACCACATAGTCCCAGAACTGCCCCTGACTGCCCAGTGCCATCCTCCCCGAGAGATCCACTGAAGCCATGTGTGTGGGATCTCACACCACTGGGCCAGCTCTGCCTGACCCTCTGACGAGACACTGGGCATTTCTGGGCCCCTGAGAGCAAGGAGCTGTGACAGACAAACCCCAGGCTCCTGGCAGGCTAGCCCACCGGATGGGGACCCTCTCACACTGCATCTGGACACCTGGACACCCCTCATGTTAGTGCAGTCCAGGACTGGCTCACCTGTGAGCAGATGGAAATGGTCACAGGAAATGCTGGGGCCCTGCCTCCGAGACTGCTCAGCATGTCCTCTTACACCCCGTTCCACAGGACCTCTGGCCACCCTGACTCTGTCCCCAGGCTGTAGTCCTCACTAGGGCATAGGCTCCAGCTCAGAGGCTAGCACCCAGCTGCTAGGCCAGCCTTCCAAGTCTATCAAGGTCTCAGGGAAATGTGCAGTCAGCTGTGGCCAGGGGAAAAAACCCTCAGCTCACCTCCAGAGATCCCCCTCCGGGGGACGCCAACCCAAGGCCACCTGCCCAGGCCCTGCCCTCGCTTCCCTGGGACATGCTCCTCCACAGGAACCTCAAGAGGCACGATACACCCCTTTTCTGAAATTTTGACCCTCCTGGGGACAGTGGCAACATGGGGAGAGAGAAACTAAGTCTGAGCAAACACAGTTAGTCCCTGCCTCCATGTGCTTTTGGCCAAGTGCCTAACTCTGTGATGAGCAGGCCCTAGGGCCCAGGGACTGAGAACTTTCTAGGCTATCCTACCTCTATCCCCAGATTCCATCAAAACCCCTGCTCTGATTTTCATCCCCTCCCTTCCACCTCATTCTGCTGGGCCTAGAGAAGAGACAGGCTGTGGAGGAGCAAAAAGGGGGCCCACCTGTGTGGCATCCCCAGGATGACATTCTCGATCCCCATCTCACTGGATTTGTCGATTATGGTCTTGAGGGCGGGAATCATGACCTCACAGCCCTCCAGGCCAAATCGCTTCTCAGAGGACCACTTCCGGGCCAGGAAGTCTTCAAATCTGCTTGGGGAGAGGAGAAGGGAAAGGATGGAGAGGCTGGGGCTCACAGGGGGCCATTCATGAGGGCTAGAGCTGGATGCCCAGGACAGAGGAAGCAGCAAAGTCACCTCCCTCTGCATAATCAGGACCTGCTACCAATATCCACCACCAAGGAGCGTAGGTCAGAGGGAGGCTGGGCATCCTCCCAGCCTAACCAAAGACTTCTGCCTGCACCCAAACCCAGCTATCACCCTCACTTCCCCTCCCCCTGCTCCCAGCCCACCATCCTACACACACACACTACACAGGGCTCCCTCTCCATGCCCCAAAGACCCCCTCACCACTCAACTCACATTCCAGCCTGCACCTCACCACCAGGGATCCATTCTGCACCCAGCAGCTGAGCCCCATGCTCTTCCTGGCCGCTGCAGCCCTGCTCTACCCAGTTTCAGATGACCAGTGGGCAGAGCCAGGTGGCACCCCACCTGCAGGGAGGCACTGCTACACTCGCTCCATGTAGGGACATCTTCCTGTCCAAACATTCCCACAGCCACTTTCCATCACTTCTGCCCCTGCTGTCATGTTCTCCTGGAGGCCATGCCTGCCCACCTGCCCCCGTGCTGCTCCTACGGGCTTCCCGAGGCCAGGGGATGAGGCCCATCCAGTCTGCCAGTGATCCTGGCTTCTTAGCCAGGGCCTGGAGCAGCCCCTCCAACCACGCCCGCCACCCAGGGTGGTGCTGAGGGTCTGACCTCATGGAGCGCACCAGCCGGGCCAGCAGGGTCCGCTTCTCCTCACTGGAGAACTGCATCACGCCAGGTGTCTCGAACTTCTGCCGGACCCACTGGCACTGCTCCACGTCATTGATGAACATGAACTCCAGGCCGATGTGCTGGCAGTAGGTGCTCTGAGGGAACAGACAGGGACTCCACAAGGAGCCAGGAGGAGGGACAACTGTCCTGAAAAGGCAGCACCCTCCTTCCCTCTAGCACGCTCCAGAGACTGCCAGCAGGGCTGCCTGACACACCCGCCCGTGCTCACCTCCAGGCGCCGAATGATCTCCCGCAGAGAGAGGGTATGTTCAGACCCCCCGATGAAGGTGGTCGTGGGCAGCTGGAACTCCTTATCTAGGTCAGCCTCCCGCAGGTCATAGAAAGCTGACGAGGCACACACAGCCCAGGCAGTAGAGGGGAGGGGAAAGGGGTGAGGGGTCAGGCCCCGGTGGGGCCCAGCAGTACCCCCGGACCTCCCACCAGTTCCAGCTAAAGGTCAAGGACTCTTGTCCGCAGGGTGCAGGGAGGCTGAAAGTCAGAGCCCCGCCTGTACCACAAGGTGGGGCTTGGGCAAGTCTCTCTAGCTTGCTGAGCATGGTGCGCCAGCTAGGCAAGATGGGGAGACAACACAGTGAGGTAGATGGGCAAAGGTCAGAAGAAAGCCTCTAGGGCTGACTGCTGGGCCCCAGGCCCCAGAGGCCAGTCAGTCCCAGAGCCCCTCACTGGGCCCCAGGCACCAGCTGGCTCTGGGCCTGCCAGAGCATCAGGAACTCTCACCCAATTTATCGATGGTTGTGATTAAGTCTGAGGGCACAAAGGAGTCCAGGTCTGCGTCCAGAATGCCCAGGGGGTCCAGCTGGGCCACATGGTGGCCCCGGATCTGGGAGGAAGGGAAAAAGGTTGGGGCCAGGCTGGGACACAGATGGACAGACCCTCACCAAAAGCCACGTTCTGGGCCCTGGCCCCTCATCCCCCACTTCAGAACCTCAACTCTCCACACGTCTCCAGCACCCAGCCACTGCACAGTTGCCGAGGCCATGAGCACTAACGTGGCAGGAGCTCAACTCTGTTTAAAAGCACAGCACGCAGCTTTCAAAAATAAGGATGCATACACAAAAGGATTAACTGCAGTAGTACTGGCAGTCACAAAATTCTAGAAACTTCCGAAATGTCCATCAATAGAAGACTGGCATATGGATATGGGAAACCCACACACGGGAGTACTATAGAGCTGTAAATAAAAAGTCCCTATCTGCTGCAATGAGGCAGTCTCCACAAAATACTGTTAAGCAAAAAAGCAAACTGCAGAAAAGTACGTGTGGCAAACTCTCCATTATCTAAGAAAGAGAAGATTCGAGTAAATACACACATTTGCACGTATTTGTATATATACAAATAAATATATGCATTAGAAGAATACATCATAAAACAAGAAAAACTATTATCTGTGGAAAAAGCACAAAATAGGGTAGAATGCCAGGGCTAGAAGCTATACTTTTAAGAAAACATTTTGCTTTGAAGATTTGATTTTGGAATCTTGTAAATATTTTATACCACTATAAAACAAAATTAAGTTTTAAAAATTAAAATAAAACAAAAACAAGTGAATTCATGTATCCATCTGGTCACATAACTACACAATCGACTAACAGAATATCCCCAAAAGGCAAATAGAACTCCAGGAAAATAATATTATAAATTCATTTTTATTAGTGGTAGTGGAAGTATTCGAGTTATACTGTAAAACTGCACTGTGTAGACTGTGGGAAAATCAAGTTCGTCATTGTACTGATGTCTTTGGGAACCTCTACTTTTGGCATCTTTAAAAGAAGACAGTGACATAAGATTAATGAGGACAAGGACAAAACCTAAGTCCTGCGTCTGAAGTACGTGGAAGCATCATATAAACCCATAAATGTGTTATCTTTAAAAAAACAGTACATATTTCCTGGCTCTAACCACTAAAAGGGCCCAGGAGGCACGACCAGACCATAGCAGTGACACTCCCAGCACTCCCTGAAGAATTGGCGGGTCCAGGGCCGGGCAGAAATGCACAAGATGAACTCGGAGCATCCTGTCATACCAGAAAGCAAAGGGGCGCTCAAACTGCTGGGCAGGGAGTAAGGACACATTCGGACAATGGGAAGGATGGTATCTGTAACAGATGAAAACTCATCAAATAAGTTTAAATTCATACATTCGTATCGGACCATCTTTGGAGGATACCTCACACTTTTGAAAATCAGCCAATAAAATGAAAAATCAAGCACTGATCCTGCCTTTCCTAAGCCATTTGCACCTCAGGATAAATGGGGTTAACAAAGTAAGTTTTTCCTGATGGAAGCATTTCAGGTAATAAACAAAGAAAGGTAGAAATAGACTATTATCACCCTTTTTACCACTCCTAATGAATTAATGTGTCCAGGAAATAATCATCCAGAGCTGCTAACTGATGAAGTACCCATCACCACCAGGAAGCTGATTTTAAAACAAAAAAAATCAAATCTGTATTGGATAAAGCTTCTAGATGTAATTACCAATTTACAGAAATTACACGGGACAAAGGGACAGATGAAATGACACCATGGGGATGCAATCAGCAAAATCCAGACTCAGGAAAACTCTACAGCCCAAACCACACACACAACACACACACACACACACTAAATGAATGAATGAATGAATGAATGACAAGGAATACACACAAAACCAGAGAGGAATCTGTAGAGCACAGGAGACTCAAGAACCACATCAGCTTATCACAACCTATGGCTTTATTTGGATCCTGATTCATTCAAGCAGTAAAATCATGAGAGAAGCAGGCAACCGTGAATACCAACTGGGTATCTGATGACCTTAAGGATTATTGTTAACATTTTTAGGTGCAACGGTGATATTGTGGCACATTTTTAAAGAGTCTTTATCTACAGAAATACATGCTGAAATGTTTGATGTGAATGAAATGGTATGTCCAGGATTTGCTTCAAAATAATCATCGGCCAACAGGTGAGGGCCCGGGGTGGTAACAGATGAATCAACACTGGCCCTGTATTAACGGGGGGTGGGATTTGCTACACAATTCTTCTACCTCTTCTGTGTTTGAGAATGTCCATAATAATAAGTGTGAGGATTTTTCAGTACTGTGTGTTGATGAGTCAAACGAGAGCTCTCGCTCCTACAGACCTGTAAGGAGTGACAGCCCGCCTGGTGGGAACTCCCTCACGTCAGGCACAGCCTTTGGCAGATTTCTACCCTAGAAAAACACAGTAACACACCTGATTTCAGACACTACCCTGCTTGAAGGACTCTCCAGTGCTTCATCTTGGCTAAAGAACAAAGAGCAGCTGAAGAGCTGGGAACTGTGCTGAGAGGACAAGGCCCTCGGGCAGCACCATGAATGTTACTTTGTATTTAACATGGAGCTTTGTGTTCTTTGTTCTTGATTTTCAAAGTAAATGGTTAGCTCATTTTCTGACTCTTTCAGCCAGCCAAGAACAATTACTACTTTTTTTGCTTTGCAGGTGGCCCACAATTCACAGGTCCTCAGGCAAGCAGGGAGGCCCAGCCCTACAGCGTCTGTCTTCCATCCCGGGTCACTGGTGCACAGGCAGTGAGGCTGCCACCCTGGGTGCCTCACTCGGAGGCAAGGCACCATTGCCACTGGCTAAGGCCTCCCCCTCCCCGGCTCCTGCGGTGGCTTGCTGCTCCTTCCCATGGAGTCTCTGCCAAGGGCCCCAGAATGCCCTTGCCCTTCCTTCTGCATGCCCGCCTGACAAGTTGCTCTTATGAAATACTTTCTGCCACTGATTCCCAGAGAGATCCCAAACGATTACACTTGTTATGGAGGGAACACCCAGAGCAGCTCTCCAATTAGTCCTGTTCAGTCAAGACCAAGAATATGGAACCTCATCAAGATGCTTCGTCAGAGCAGGGGCCCAGCCTGGGGACCGAGCAGAGGAGAGCCGAAGTCTCCAGAACAGAGCAGCTGGTAGAGAAGGAGCTGTTTACTGAACTATCCGTTCGTTCATTCATTCCGTAAACCCTAATTAAGCGCCTGCTGTATATCAGTCCCAGTCCTCTTGGAATGCTCAGTCAAGAAGAGAAAACAGACATTAAACAAGGGTCGATCTACTCAATTTTTATTCAACCTTAACCGAAATTGATTACTAAGTACCACTCTAGGTGCTTGGGGCATAGTGGTGTGTGAGACAGATAGCACTCCATGAGAAAGACCAAACAAAAGACCAGGGAGTAGTTAGTGATGTGAACAGTTACATGACGACGAGTAATGGGAAGAGAGAGAGCCACCGGATAGAGGACTCAAAGGGGCTCTCTGGAGGAGATGACGCTGGAGCTGAGCCAGCCCCGTTCCCATCAGCACCTGGCCACACGCCAGAAGCCAGTCCCGCCTCCAAGCCTGGGCCCTCCCAGCCACTCACCTGGTAGGCCCGGATCAGGGACTGCACAGCCAGGTGGTCCTCTACCAGCTTGCTGGTGTCGGTCCGACTCGAGACTGCTGGCCTGCTCTCTGGGAACCGTGGCTGAGCCGGGTCACAGGCACCTTCCTCACTGGCTTTTCGGAAGAAGCTGTCCCAGGACTGGGCAGAGGCAGAAGTAAGAAAACAGTCAGTCAAGTCAGGGCCTGGGAGGAGTCGGGGGTGGCCCTGCCTGGGGGCCCCAGGGGTGTTGGGTGTTCCTTCACCACTATAGCTCTTAGGACCTTCCCAGGACCCTGCCGAGACCTCTTATAACCAGCCCAGGGCCTCCCAACCCAAAGCCCAGATCTCTTCAGTCCCCAGCTTGGAAGTGTGTTGAGGGAAGGCTCTAACTTGTGACCCAGGGGCCTCAGGTGTGAAAGAGGCTTCTACCCTGGGGAAACATGCCCTCACACACTGTGCGCTGGCAAGAGGGCAATTTGGCAGGCAGGGCCTCAACATCTTCAATGAATGTAACTTTTTTTTTTTTTTTAAAGATTTTTAATGAATGTAATTTTTGAAGCAGCAATTCCATTTTAATAATTTATTCTACAGATGTACTTATATAGGTGTGCCTGGATGTATATACAAAGATGTTCCTTACAGGACTGTTTACAAAAATGACAACATAAAAAAAATCTAGGGGCACCTGGCTGGCTCAGTCGGTAGAGCATGCAACTCTTGATCCTGGGGTTGTAGGTTTGAGCTCCACATTGGGTATACAGATTACTTAAAAATAAAAATAAATGAAAAATAAAATCTCAAAAAAAAAAAAAAATCTAAGTGGTGACCAGTAGAAAACAGGTCAAACAAATGTTGGTACATTTAGATTCTGGAAGATTATGCAGTCTTTAAAAAAAGAAGGTGCATTTATTACTATGGATGTAGAATATCACTAAGATATGCGACTGCAAAGTGAGCCAAGCAGAAGACGACATGACTGCTACTGTTCGTGTGGAAGCCAAAAGCAGACGTGCATATGCACAAGCACCTCCGTGTTCCAGTGTTTTCTTCTCCACACCCTCATTCGAGAAAACCAGGTGGCACAAGCCCTCTGGAAAGCAGTTTGGCGATGCCCATGAAAATGTTATACCCAGAGCCTCTGTGACCCAACAATTCCACTTTGGGGAACTGATCCCGCAGATAGCTGTGCACGTACAAGACGACAAATGGACTAAGTGATGCCCTGTGGCAGTGGTCGTGACAGCCAGGGCTTGGAAATGAGCGAGAGGTCTGGCGGTGGGGACAGGTGTGGCACATCCATACCACGGATCACTATGCAGCTGGAAAAAAGAACAATGAGGCTCCTGATGCACTGACATGGAAAATCTTGGAGATGTATACTAAGAAAAAAAAGCCTGGAGACGTTGTTTTTGTGTACAGTGGGGAACTGAGTTTGCAATAAATTTACCTAATGGATACAGAAGAAGGATAAAGGATAAAGAAATTTACTGAAAGGATACAGAAGCAACTAAGAATAAACTGGGGGACAGATAGGTGGTCGCTGAGCAGACAAGGGATGGATTGGGAGGGAGACTTTTTACTATGTAACCCCACACTTTCTGGTTTTGAGTCATGTTATCACTTTCCCCTGAGAGTGAGTGAAGAGGAGGGAGAACAGCTTTACTTCTCACTCCTCGCAGTCATCTGAGGGGTTTTTTTTTTGTTTTTTTTTTTCACCATCAGCAGGTATTTATTCAGCTCAGTACATATATAAACACTCTGGCCCTAACTACGCAACAAAGAGCCCCCTGGCCACAGCACAGCATGACAGAGGGGGCAGGGGCGGGTCTCAGACCAGGTGTGGCTGAGCAGGACAGGATCAGGGCTTCTCACGCCAGACCACCACCTACTGGCTGGTTCAGCAACAGGACAGCCACGGACTCTCCTCACCCAACAGGAGAACAAGGCTTCTATGAACAGGGACGCTGGAGGAGCCGAAAGGCAAAGAAACCTGCCCAAGATCACACAGCGGGCAAGCCGCTTCTCCCCACGGCCCCCTCCACAGCCCGGCTCCAGGAGCTTCCCTCCTGCACAGCAGGCAAAGAGGGGGTGCCAACCTTGTGGACGCTCTGGGGATTTTCCAACCAGGCGAAGTACATCTCCTCCATGTAACTGGAGCTGCCTCCACGTTTGCCGCTTGGGAAGGTGGCCGGTGGCCCAGAGGACCTGCTGCGCCAGTTGAACATGTGGACATCGTGGGGGGCCAGGAGCCTTGAGGCCTGTGCCCCAAGCCGGGAGGGCAGCAGTCTCAGCTGACTCATTCTGGACACAGGCAATGAGGGAGAGGCATAAACCACAGACCAGAATAAAGGCTCCGGCAGCCACTATTCCCTCATCCAGCATTTGTTGGTTCTACTGGGCAGGTGGCCCTGGGCTCGGCATGGATGGGACAGAGGAGAATGGGACAGTCGGCCAGCCCTCCTGGGGTCACTGCCTAGTGGGAGATCCCAGCTCAGTCAACTTCACCAACAGCTATTCAGCATCCCTGAGCCCCAATCCCGCCGTGCCCCACACACCCCAGCCCACACTCCCTCTCTGCTGTCCCCCTAAGCCTGATAGAGAGACAAGTACCACCCAGGCCCTGCCCCAGGGAGCATTGAGCCTAGGTCCTGAGCCCACTCAGAGGGTCACAGGGCATGTGCAGGCAGTACACCCAAGAAAGAGTGGGCCACAGAGCTGGCCACCCTGGAACTCGAGCAAGGGAGTCCTCCAGGGGCTGGCGTGTGCTATGCCTGGCCAGGAAAGAGCCTGAAGAAAGGGGTCTGGCCGGGCTGCACTATCTCGGGAGGCCTATGGCACTGCTGGGTCTCTGGTCACTGTCACCAGAAATGACTGGTGTCTTTCTCTGACTGCAAAACCAGCCCACAGCACTCTCCCAGGCCAGAAAGCCAATCACACAGGCCTCAATGACCCCACTTCACAGTGGGAAAAATACAGTCTCAGAGAAGGGAAGGGCACTGGGGCACAGTGAAAGGCAGATCAGAAGCCTGGCCCCATGCCCAGCCCACCGCGGCTCTCAGCTGGAGCCACCCTCTCTGGCTCCACTACCCTGCCCAGAGTTTACACTCAGAACCAACAGCACTCAGGACAACCCACAGCTCAAGGGGTACATACAGGCTGGAGAGGACCTAGAACGAGAACCTGTAGCTCATCTTGTCCCCATTATGTCAACTGCCCTTTGCCCGGGAAAATTCCTGAATAACCAGTTTTAAATACTGCTTCCTCCACCCCCTCCGTGGCCAGACAATAGGTCTGAGAGCCTGAGAGCCTCCTCCAATCCTGGCAAGCCCTGGGGCTCCCTATCCAGGCCAGATGGGGGTTGACAGGGCCCACTAAGGCCACCTCCTCCTACACAGGATTTGTAAAGTAGGACCTCTGTTTCCCTACCCCCACCCCCACAACGGTGAGCAGAGCTCCGTCCTCTGCTCCAGCCCAGCACTGCCTGGACACAGAACAGCAACCCCTGAATCCTCATTAACACCCTTCTTCCCAGAGAATCCCAGCCTGTAAGTACGGTCCAGCACCAGAGCCACCCCACCAGAGGTCATGTAGACAGGAGGAGCCTGCTTCCCCTTACGCAACTCAGTCCCAGAAAACATGCCTTCTGGGGCATAACTGGCTCCCAGGTCCTACCTGGCCGTGAGCCAATACCCTAGACAGGGCTTCCCCACCCTACCCCTGCCCTTTAGCTCAACCAAGTCACCAGAACTATCTGACTGGCCTTCTACAAGCCCTTCCAGCCTGCTTCCTCCCCCTCTCCCTCCAAACTCACATGAGGCAAAGAGAAGGGGGTGGTCTTCTCAAGGGAGGGAAAGTAGGCTCCTCCGGGAAACCAGCAGGAAATCTAAATAGAGTAAAATTAAAAAGCAAAAATTTAGTCCCGTGAAGGGAGGAAGAGGGTGGGTTCAGCTAGTACCTAAGCCCACAGTGCCCCAAGCTTTCCACATGCTCAACCCCTGAAGCTTCAGGCTGCAAGCCCAGCCCCACCAGCCGATGAGTCCAGGCTCCACAGCAAGGGTCGCCAGGGGCTGGATCTCCCTTAAAGAAAGCCTGGGCTCTGGGATCAGAGTGCCAGGGTCCCAACCCCCTGCTCTACTTCTGACTGTCCCTAGGCAAATATAAGTATAGGGCTGACCCAGCCCATATGGCCATAGGCAATGAGGGAGAGACATAGGACATACTGGCCTAGAAGATCAGAAGAATGTAAACAAGCCAGGAAGCTCTAAAGCAAAGGAAACCAGACACCAACAACATCCACTGCGGGAATAAAAATAAGAGCACACAGTCTGTGAGCACGGATTCTGCGGCAGATTCTGTTCACTTAACCCTCTCAACAATCTCATGTGGTGGGCACTTAGAGTAGTCCCATGTTATGAAAGGGAAACTGAGGCACAGAGAGACTAAGCTGGTGAGCGATGGGGCTCTGTGCGCCCTCCTCACTGCAGAGTCAAGATGTAAACCCAGATTTCCCTTAACCACATGCACTCTCCAAGAGCCTCAGCCAGAAGTGCACGTTCTACCAGCACCCACCCCCACTCCCACAGGAGAACAGGATGGCTAGGGTGGCAGTGACAAAGCCTGGCTGTGTCCGGAGTGGCCTAGTGCAGAACACTGTTTTACATCACTGAATGATCTGGAACGGCTGCTGGGCACTGCTATGGCTTTCACCCAGCCTGGTAGGAGGGCAGCCAGCTGGCCACCCCTGCCCCCATTCCCACAGGGCTTGAAGACCCAGGAGCCCTGAAGGGGTGGAAACAGAACCAACCTCAGCCAGAGCCCCTGCCAGCCTTGCCAGGTCCGGTCCACACAGGCCAAGACAGCAGCAAAGAGTTAGAGTCAGGCATTCTGTGAACCACCTGCCCAGCCCAGTCCCCAGTGGACTAATAGGTAGGTTGCTCTGGGCAGCTCTTGGGGGTCTCCTCTCTAGGGACAAGGTCACTACCATCCCCACCCCCACAACCATAACAACTGCAGGCATGCTGTCCAGGAAGCCTCCCACACACAAGGCCCTGCCTGGGCTGCCCTGGTGAGGACTGCAAGGCAGTATGTCCGTTGTAGAGATCAGTTAACAGAGATCCAAAGAGAGGAAAGGCCCTCCCCAAGACCTTGAAGCCACGCAGCAGTGGAGGCTGGACTCACACTGCTGCAGGCCGACTCTGGTCCCACATTCTGAAAACTGGGTGGGCTTTTCTCAGAAATAAATCCAACTCTAGTTTGCTGAACCCAAGAGAAGGCAGACTCCAAGGTAAGGAGCAGGGCAGGGAGGAGTGTGCTTATTTCACTGGCAGAGAAGGAGGGCCTGAGCTAAAGCCCAGAGGTTGTAAAAGTACAAAGGTAGTGGGGATCTGTTCCAAGAGCCTAGGGCATGTGTGGCGAGGAGTTGCAGGGGAGGGGCTGCAAGGGCGGGCTTGCGCCCCTAGGTGGAGGGGGAGGGGCTCAGAGTGGGACCCTTAGAGTCCGGTTTATGCCCGCCGCACCTTCCCCTCTCCCCCGACATCTCCCTGGGGATGAGAGAAGCACTTCCCAAGCTGGCTGCGACCTCTGGCCCATCCTGCCTCTCTCACGGCCTCAGTTTGCTCATCTGTAAGCAGAGACCCTCGTTAAAGCTGTCTACGAGGCCCCGCCCCCAAGAGGTCCTGAGACTTGGAAAACTGCCTGTGTGTCCCGCGAGGTACGTAACGCCGGACCCTCCCCATCCCCAGCTCCGCTGCCTTCCGCAGGCCGGCCCCTTAAGAGGGTGAGGAGAAGCAGCCCACGCCCCCCTCCCCCAAGGCCACAAAAGGCAGCGTGGTCAGTCTGTAGTCTTCGGGCTGGAGAACCCACGCTGAAGCCTGAAACCCCGCCGTTCACAAGGCTCTCCTTCACGCAAAACACTGCATTCAAAGGGTCGAACATGCGCGAAGGGCTGAGGGTCCTTGCAGAGGCCGCGGCCAAATAAGGGCGGAGCCAAGGTCACGCTCACCCCCCCACCCCCACCTCCCCCGACGGGCCCCATTCAGGACCCCGGGTAGCGGCTCCCCAGGACCCGAGAGCAGAGGGGCCGCACCCGAGACGGCAGGAGAAGAGGAGGTGCATGGACCCGGAGTGGCGGGGCCGCCGCGCTCACCGGGCCGGCGGGTCCGCGCAGCAGCGCAGTCCTGGAAGCCGCGTCAGGGGCTGGGCGCAGTGGGTGCGCGACTTGCCCAGCCAATTACCTGGATCACGTGACGCGGCAGCGCCGGCCGCTCGAGAGCGCGCGCCCGGGAGACTCCGCGCGTCGTGACGTCTCTGTGTATGCCCCGCCCCTTCACCCGCCGGCGCTGTCCGGGGTGCTGACGGCCCAGGCCCGCCTGAAGCCTCCCCGGCCCGGGAAGAGTGAAGATCCCAAACACCTCAGGGCGGGACAACTCTGTATGGCTGGGACATCTGCTATGCTGCTGAGCCCCTGGATCCCTGAGCCCCTTAGTCGAACGAACACTAAGGAAAATGTACCAGAAAATAACCAGCCATTTGTGTGCATGGGAGGATAGTTTCCATTTTATTTCCTGTAAAACTGCATGCTACTAAAAGTATCATTGTCGGGGCGCCTGGGTGGCTCAGTCGTTAAGCATCTGCCTTCGGCTCAAGTCATGATCCCAGAGTCCTGGAATCGAGCCCCGCATGGAGCCCACCATCGGGCTCCCTGCTCCGCGGAAAGCCTGCTTCTACCTCTCCCACTCCCCCTGCTTGTGTTCCCTCTCTCTCTGTCAAATAAATAAATAAAATCTTTTTCTTTTTTTAAAGTATCATTGTCTTAGGGTTGTTTGAAGAAAAGACGAGATAATGCATATAAAGTGCTTATCACAAAGCCTGATACACATTTTACCCTTCCATTGTCCCAGTGATGAAGATCTACACTGGCTTCACCTCCCTGTTTGCCACAAACAATGCTGCAATGAACATCTTCCTACATATTCCCCTATGAACCTGTGTGAAAATTTCTCTGTAATAGATAACCAGAAGTTGAATTGTTCAGTCATGGGTATGTGTATACTTAAGAACTCAGCAGTGTAGGCCGCCTGGGTGGCTCAGTTGTTAAGCATCTGCCTTCAGCTCAGGTCATGATCTCAGGGTCCTGGGATCGAGTCCCACATTGGGCTCCCTGCTCAGCTGGAAGCCTGCTTCTCCCTCTTCCACTCCCCCTGCTTGTGTTCCCTCTCTCGCTGTATTTCTCTCTGTCAAATAAATTAAAAAATCTTTAAAAAAAAAAACCAAACAACTCAGCAGTGTCACATTGTTGTTCAATTGTAGATTCTCATTAACAGTGCAAGAGGACTTTTAAGTCCTTATATCCCAGCCAACACTTGACAGCACCCAGCTGGGATGGTCTTTGTACGCCATATGTCAAAGGGTTTGGACTCTCCAGCAGGCCATGGGACACCAGCAAGGAAAAGGATACAGATGTGAGAAACATTTAGGAATCAGCTCTGCAGAGCTTAGTAGTTAATGAAGTGTGAGTGGTGGGGGCAATGATAACTCACAGATTTCTGGCTTTGGTGAGGTGTTGCGGGGGGTGGGGATGGGACGTCTCAGTAAATTGGGAAACAGAAGGAGATGCAGGTTGGGGAGAATAACAGAAAAGTTTACAAGTTGGATCCACCAATGAGCCACTTAAGAAAGATAGAGTGTGATGCGGAGCCACAGGCAGGAACAAAACCCAAGCAAATCAAAGATCTCCAGAGTCTCCCATTTGCCCACAGTGGTCTTTAGAGTTCATGAGAGGAAAATAAAGAGCCTTGGAGGGAGAGAGAACCACACTATGGAGGGAAGCTGAGTCACCAAAGGGGCTGCGCGGGGTAGTCAAGAACAGAAGGCACTGCTGTGGAAGACTGCAGGGCTGCCAGGTCTTCCAGCCTAATTGATGTTCTGCTAATTACATTGATTAAAGCAAACATTTGGGGCAATCAAGGCTCCCATGAGGATAGCTGCCATTCTCAGAAGACTGAGAAGCTTTGAGACATGGCCACAGTTTGGTAAACATTTTTACAAAATTGTCTGTGTACTACGACTACTATACAAATACACATTTACAAAAACATTAAATGGATCCATGAGAATATAGTTCTGCAATTTACTTTTTTTCCCCCCTTGTCTTAAAGATCTTTGTTTTAATCTCAGGATGTGTAGGACCACCTCATTCATTTTAATGGGTATAATGTATTCATTGTAAGAGTGTATAATGATTGTATTTAACTTCTCACCCATTGAATGAACATTTATATATATATTTTAAGATTTATTTATTCATTTTAGAGAGAGAGAGCATGAGTGGAGGGGAGGAGCAGAGGGAGAGGGAGGAGAAAAGCAGACTCCCCACTGAGCAAGGAGCCCTACGTGGGGCTCCATCTCACGACCCTGAGATCATGACCTTGAGATCATGACCTGAGCTGAAATCAAGAGTCAGATGCTTAACTGACTGAGCCACCTAGGCACCCCAACATTTACATTATTTTTGACATTTACAGAAATAAAATCCTCCTACATATATCCTTTAGCATATGTGCAACTTCTTTGGTAACTTTGATTCCTAGAAGTTTAATATTGGGCTAAAATATATGCATGTTTTACATTGTAACAGGTTCTATCTTCAGTAACACCATGCCTATTTATGTTTCCCATTAGCATTTGAGAGTTCCTACTTCCTTACATCCTTGCCAAGACTTGTTATTATCAGTGTTTTTAATTTGTGCCAATCTGATAGATGAAAAAACGTCACTTTTAGTTTGCATAAAACTGATAAGGGAAATTGAAAATCTTCTTATATGTTGATAATTTTGTATTCCTTTCCTGTGAATTTCCTATTCATGTTCTTTGTCCATTTTTCTATTGGATTGTTTACATTTTTTATTGATTCACATAAGCTCTGTGTATATATTCTGAATAAGAATTCTTTGCAGGTTTTAAACGCTGCAAATATTTATTTCTCTTCCTCTGTCACTTGTCTTTTAACTTTGTTTACAGATGCTTTAGTCATATGGTAATTTATGCTTGTCATAGCTTGAATTGTATCCCCCCCCAAATTCATACTTTGGTGTTCTAACCCCCAGTACCTCATAATGTAATCTTATTTGGAGATAAGGTCGCTAAAGAGGTAATTAAATTAAAATGAGGTCTTTAGGGTGGGCTCTAATCCAATATGATTGGTGTCTGTGTAAGAAGAGAAAATTTGGACACAGACATCTACACACACACAGGGAACATCATGTGAGAACAGAGGAAGAAGACAGCTATCTGCAAGCCAAGGAAAGAAGCCTCAGAAGAAACCAACCCTGATGACAACTTGATCTTGGATTTCCGACTTCCAAAACTGTGAGAAAATAAATAAATTTCTGTTGTTTAAGCTCTCTGTTCTGTGACACTTTGTTACGGTGGCCTGAGAAAATGAATATAATGCTATTGTTGATGGCCCCATTCCTTGATTTGAGAACCACTCAGAACTCCATGGTTTTCCCTCAATTCCATCTTCTCCTGGGGCAGGGCTCCTTCTTATCCTCAGGCAGGGTAGGGATGGCCCCATTTTACCCTCTCTATTAGCTCCCCACTAAAGTCTGCTTACAGTTTGAGTACATTTTTTTTGTTCTTTTCCTCTCCCATCTCATTATATTATTATTTTGAAGAAAGCTATCAAAGGGGACAGGTCATCAGCAAGAGGCAAATATTGTTAGCTTCTGGGCAGATTTTATCCTCACTTTTTAAAATGTACCTTTTATACATACAGTTGAGATCATACCTCACTTACTTAGTATAACTTAAGCATTACCCATGTAATTAAATATTTATAAACCTGACTTTAATGACTGCAAGTATATAATAATATAATTTTTTTTGGTGCTTCCTACAGTACCATTTTTTTTTTTAATTTCAACATGAGCCATTCTCTGTGGACTCTGGCCAGACCTCACACTGTTTGCTTTGTTACTACAGTGATCACTGCTCCCACCAGACAGCTGGGTTAGATGTCATCTCAATTAATCTTATATTTAAAAGACAAAGAAACTGCCATTTGCAGAGTTCACTTATAAACAACCACATAGGTGGAGGCAGAGTGATGCTCTGTGTATCAGTGAAGAAATATCAGAGTAGAACTCTGAGACTGCCAGCTCTAGTCTCAATCCCCATTTAACAGAGCCAGCAGCTGAGAACCCACTGAGGTTTTGATGTTTGCCCAGGATCACAGAACATGGCCAGGGGCAGAGGCCTGGCCTCCTCCCTCTTAATCCTGGCTCTTTCCATGAGCCAGTCTGTCTGTCACATGCTTCACACCCTCCCCTAGAGAGGGCACAACCCATGAGGCACCAGGCTGTTGAGGACTTCTCTGGACAAGCCTCTGCCCAAAGGAGTCCAACCTTCCACTTCTCCAAACTCTCTCCTTTTAGTGCTTGGTGGGTGGTGACCTATGCATGAAAGAAAGCTTCATTAATTCAGGTCCCAATAGCTCAGAACCAGTCTATCATCTTTTAATTTCAAGATATGTTCAAATTAAGCTTAATCTATGCATATGGTTATCTTAAAGCAAATTTATTGAATTCAGAGTTATGGATAGGGGACATTTTTAAACTTAAACTTCTTATTTTGAGATACTTGCAGATTCACTTGTAGTTGTAAGAAATAATGCAGAGAGATCCTCTGTACTCTTTATCCAGTTTCTTCCAGTGGTAACATCTTGCAAACCTATAGTACAATATCACAACCAGGATACTGACAATGATATAGTCAAGATACAATACATTTCCATCACAGGAGAATCCCTCATGTTGCCCATAACTACATTTGATGAGGTCACTATTATTTTTTTTTTAGCCTTTCCAATGGCTGTATAATGATATTATGTCTTTACTGTGCATTTTCCTGATGGCTAATGAACATCTTTTCAGTGCTTATTTGCCATCTGTATATCTTCTTCAGTGAATTTTGTCTTTTATCCCCTTTTCTAATTGGACACTTTTTTTTTTTTTTTTACTGTTGAGCTTTGAGAGTTCTTTTTATAGTCTAGATACTAGTCATTGGTCAGCCCTATGATTTGCAAATATTTCCCACAGTCTACAGCTTGTCTTTTCATCCTCTTAAGAGGATCTTACACTGAACAAAAGTTTTCAATTCTGGTGAGTCCAGATTTTTTATTTTTAATTTTATGGTTCATATTTTTGGCTTCCAGTCTAAGAATTTTTTT